TAAAGAGGGAGCAGGCAGGGGTATGCAATAGAAAACAAAGTGGGTAAATAGAACAGAGCACATTAGCAAATGGCCTGGCAGGTGGGAACAGCAGCTTGAATTTGATGAAGTGGAAGATTCCAACAGAGGGACTCTGGAAGAGAATGAGTAGCAACAAGCAAGAAAGAATGCCTGAGCAGTGACATTTTGCAAAGACTACAGGTAGTGATGTGGTTGCCAGAAAGGAGGTTAGAGTAAATCAAGATAACAAATGGGGAGGGTCTGACCAACAGTTTTGGCAGCAGGGATAGATGGATATCAAGGTTGGATTTTGGAAAAGATTCTGACGAGAAAGTTGCCAGTTCTGTATGCGTCTTAGATGCACAAAGCTACAAGAGTAAAACAAATCCGCTCAAGAGATAAAACTGATGCTCTCATGGCAGCACATACAACTCATGGCTGGAGCCTTCTGAACAGTGAATGAGATTATCATCCCTTTACAGGCTGCACAATTTACATAAAATGTTTAATACTGTACCTGCTCCACACAACCCTGATGGTCGACGTCCTGTGTGCATCCAGTCTCTCTTCATCCTCTGTAATAACCTCAGCGCCGTCATTGATACCTCATGGTTCTTATCTCCAAATTCTAGCATGTGTGCAAAACGAGGAATATATAAACAAGGATCTGCAATAGAATGAAGTACAATTACATCTCATTTTGACCTTCAGTTTTTGAAACATGTAAAACAGGACCAAGTACACAACAGGCATTTCATGGTTGATTTGTTACGAATCGGATTTGCTACGTATCAGTACAGAAACCAATATACCGCGTCAGTTTTGTGGTAATGTTTCTGAGGATAGATCCTCTTATCTGATTAATCTTTAGAAACTCTTTAAATATCAGTGACAATCATTCATTCATTTTTGCTTTACAGGTTACCATAGTATATTCTGCATATACTTGCAGGGCATGACCCTGAAAACACTTCCACACATGTTGACTATTTATGTGTGTGAATGGACCCATCAGATCTATGCATTTATTGAAAGTTACATTTTTTGCAAAATCGCTGCGGACTGAGTTGGATCCAAAATTTAAAGTTCACGTGTATAAAAACATGAGCCAAAATGGCTCGTCTGTGAAAGTACATATAAGTTGACCTTTGAAAGATAAGTAATATGTTTAAAATAAACGGTTTCTAGCAAAAGTTTCCCTATATCTCCAAATTTAAATTCAGCTCCTACAGCATAACTCCATGTTCATTGACTCATGCTCTGGTAACACACACATATTGGGGCAGATCTACAATTGGTGTCCAAAATGCCACTGATTCCAAAATCTCAAATTACCTGAGAAACACTGAGGAATAAATCCTTGGCTGGTAAAAGCTAACACAAGTCCATTGACTCCACTGAAGCCAACAGAGCCACGACAATTTGTACCAGCTGAGGATTTGCCCTTTGATATACATAAGAACATTTCTGATGTTGGTGCTGTCAGCTTCAGACTAAGAGAGCTGTGAAAAGCTCTCTGCACGGGTGGCTTTGCCTACCCATTTTCTAATTTATCAAACAGAATCTTTTAAAAGCTTTACCCTACACATGTTTACTCTCTTATTCTGGGGTATCAATTTCTCATTTCCTGCCAGCCTTTTATCACTTGACCTAAAATCTATGAGGTATGGTAAATGGTTAACTATTAGCCTCAACTCAATTTCCTTGGCTGATCCTCTGTTGGAGGCTGTAACTGATAAAGATGTGATTTTTGCTGAAAACATTAATTTAGACAGCCTTACAGATTTATCATTAATCAAACCTGTTACATTTACTCCTAAATTCTAACAATGGATATCCTGCTGCCATTTGCAATTACCAGGATTACACTACGTACAATTATGCGTATCAGACTTCCAGCCTTATGGAAATATTTAAATGACTGCATGTTTTATTTATAAAGCAAAAAACTTTTATACGTATCTAACCAACATATTTTAAAATGACAAAATGCAATCAATTTGCAAACATGATCATAAAAAAGAGGTTGTATAAAATATTAAATCTGTATGTTTGCAATGGCAATTAGTAAGGAAATAGAATTGTTCCATACAGTTCTCCAGTTACCATTCGTATACTCTCCAACATAATGGATGCCCATCTTCCTCATGCACTTCAAAGTAGTTATTGCCAAAAAACTATTGTCCTGTTTGGAAGTCTACGCTAGGGAAATCAACCTTCAAATCCTTCAACTAAAAATAAATAAATAAAAACAAGTTTGAGACTAAACAGTCTTCCAAAATTATGACATGATTAAAAACTGTAATTAACAAAAAACCTGCTTAAGTCCGCAATACAAAATAACTCTCACAAGTGAAACCTCATTTCTATAGTCCTTTAAATTTCAAATTTCCCTTTTAAGTTATTCCTTAATACCAAACCCATCACTTTAATGAGCTCACAGACTCAAAAAACTTCTCCAGTCCACTGGCACAGTTAAAACAGAAGGGCCCAACTTCAATAGGAGTTGAGGCCACTTGGCATGTCAAATTCAAGATCATAACAGAGGGGAGTGTTTTGTTAGTTAGTTCTTCAGAGCTTCTCCTCTTCCCGAACTCGCCCACATTTGCAATGCAGCCTATCTGAATGTACTGCTCGCATTCGCGCCTAGAGATCATTTGATAAACTAGTTTCTGCTGAAATTTATTAATTAAAAATTTTAAACTGCCAAAACAATCATAGTTTAGTAAATTAGTAAATGCAAATGACTCAAATGAGAAACCACTACAAGCGACTGCAATTTTATCAGCATAAAAATTGTAAGTGCGTCTACTGTGAATGAAAGCCACTTCAAACAGGCCCAAGAAACAGTCTTGCATTGCTTTGTCTCATCCCAAACAGACACACTTGGACTTTGCCAACGGCTCCACACAGGCAGAAAGCAACCTCCTTCCCAACAAGATTCTGCCAGCTCCAGCGAGACTCCGTATTTGTGCAAGGGCACATCTCCACAGACGAGCTCCCAAGTCAGGGCCAAAGCTGGCCACTACATTTTATGAGCACTCATGTAAGAAGCTGAACGGAGAGGAAGGGGCCCCACCTGCCCTCAGAAATGAGTGTGTATCACTTCAACAAGAGCGCTGCCCTTTCAGCTTGACCTGCAATGTGCCTGTTACACCGCATAAAGCAGCAGCCACATAAGATAATAAGAACTGATATGAACTGGGTCAAATCACAGGTCCACCTTGCCCAGTTCCCTGCCGCACAGCAGGCATGTATCTGACATGCTTCATACCCCTCTCCCCCAACACCTGCCCCTTCTGTGCAGAGGGAAATGCTGGTGCACGCATCTGGAGTGCGCCAGGCTGCCGCCCCTGCACCACCTCCTCCAGATCCTCTTGCCGAGGTTCTGGCTGCACTATTCCCCTCACCTCTTCATTTATGCACTCCCTGTCTGTGGCCCCACGAAGTCCCAGGACCTCCTGGTCAACCTCCTCCTGGGCCCAGCCAAGCTGGCTATATACCTGCCCAGGAGGGAGGGTCTGGATGGGAGAGTCCCCAGGGACTGCAGGGCCACTTTCCTTGCCCTCATTCGTTCCCATCTCCAGCCAGAGCATCACTGGGCAGCGTCCACTGGCTCCCTGGATTCACCCGAGCACCACCGGGCACGGCGTGCTCTGCTCAGTGTCTCCCGTTGGCATTCTAGTTATGCACCTTTGACCGGCACTCCCGTTCCTGTTTTATTTTGATTTTTTTATCTGTTCCCAGCAATCTGTTGTCAAACTTTCTGCAGGTCTCCCTATCTGAGGGAGGGAGGCCTAGGCCCACATCCCTCCCTCAAGGTGACAAATAGGCCTGTCGCACAGCAGGTGTGTATCTGGCGTGATTGACACACTCCCCCAACACCTGCCCCTTCTGTGAGCAGAGGGAGACCCTAGTGCACGCACACCTGAAGCGCGCCAGGCTGCAGCCCCTGCTCCGTCTCCTCCCCACATTTCCCCTCCTCTGTTGATTTATGCACTCCCTGTCCGTGGCCCTGCCAAGTCCCGCATTTCCCCCAAGCTGGCTGCATTTCTTACCAGGCAGGAGGCTCTGGCTGGGAGTATCGCTAGCGGTTTCACTGGGCAGTGTCTGCTGGCTCCTTGGACTCCTTCATGGACCAGTGGGCGTGCTGTGCTCAGTGTCCCCCCCCTAGCACCCGAGTTCTTAACCTTTAACTGTCACTTCCCTCCGTTTCTTTCATTTGCTCCAAGCAATCTGTCGC